TGGGCTTTTTTTTTTTTTTTTTTTTTTTTTTTTGGTGGAACCAGGGATTGAACTCAGGCCCTTGCACTTGCCAGGGATGTGCTTATTTCACTGAGCCATCTCCCCGGCTCTGATCCCTGTGCTTGCCAAAGCAGGTGCTTAGTCTGCTGAACTATCTCACTGGCTCTATTTATGTGCTTTTGGTAGCACATTTCCTACTATATATGGTCCCCTTTTAAAGGAAAAAGCTGTAGGAAGTCCCTCCTGGTCCTTGTCTCAGTCCAAGAAGTTTATATTTATAGTCCCAAAAATACATTATTGACATCCCATCAAGTTAATTCCAATCTACCACTTCCAGTGCAACCCACAGTGAGAATAAAGACACTAAGGCATATTTATAGTTATGGAGAGCCAAGGGGTCCTGAATTCAGCCATGATGACAGCTATCTGGAACAAAAGAATAAAGTTCTCGACCCAGGGCTGAACCTGGGTTTTATTCAGTCATGAAGGAGTGGCTTGAGGATGAATGACTGAGAATTGCAGGAAAAGTACTGTGAGCTGGGCTAGGTAGGAGGCCTGCATTTACCTCTGTAATATGCAGAAAAAGTAATTTGCATTATACTATTGAGATAATAATCTAATGTTTTAGGGTTGGTGCTTCAGCTCTGATGTGTACTCTTTCAAGCCCCAGGAAATCATAACCTTAAGGCTTGATCCCAGCCAACTGTGTGGAGCACTGGCTCTTCATCTTGTCTCTAACTGGCTCATATTAAAGAGCATGTGTGGGTTATCAGGGAAACATGTGTGCCATCTTCAAAGACTACCACCAACACCTCAGCTAGACCAATATGCATTGCTTAAAGCCAATTGAAATGATAAGGAAAAATCCTAGCGAGCTCTGTACCTATCAATACATGGAAATAGGGTCAGGCACATCTAAAATGGAGACAACCACTCTTCTTTCAAGGAGAGTTGCCCAGGTGGTCCGCTACAAAAAGACATTTTAAGACAGAAAAACTTTAAACTTTTATTTATTAGGAATTTGAGAAGGATTTTTTTCTTTTTTTTGCTTAGGCTGCCTTAACAGCGAGTCTGGTGTGGCATGTGGAGCTGGGGATCGAACTGAAATCCCCTGTGCCTGACTGGCTTTGACCAAGCAGTGGAGCAGTTTGGGTTTAATGTGGTCTCTTTGTGTTTCCTAGGCTCATCAGAAACTGCAGGCTTCACTTTCAGTGGCTGTGAATTCCATCATGAATGTAATGACTGGGAGCACAAGAAGTGGCTTCCGAAAGACATGTTTCCAGGCTCTTCAGGTAAGTAGGAGACTGAAAATGCTTAAAATTGCCAGGGTTTTAATAACATCCTTTCTATCTCTGTAATGTGTATGGTACTTTTACAAACAATATTTCACTGCTTCTGTTGCGATCATGAGTGGTACAGGTCTAACTACGTGTTTTAAGAACTATTTGCAAAATGAATTCTAGGTGTACTATTTCATAAATAAGAAAAGTTATTTATAATTTCTACTTCTTTAGGTCACACAGATGTGCTAGAATGTGCTAGGATTCAATCCATGATTTTCAGTTCCTTGTTGAAGTGCTTCCTGATGGTGATAAAACACATTGAAAATAACTGAGCAGTCATAAGTACTGAGCAATCCCATGCATGTGACATGGCATGGTGGAGAGAGTTTTGGAATCAACAGGGATAGGTTCAAATCCTGACTCATTTTCTTACTTGCTATGTGGACTTAGGGTTATATTGAACTTCTTGAGCCTTGTCTATAAATTAGAAAAAAAAATACCTACAGGGTAATAATAGCTAAATGTGTATCATGATCTGAATATTGGTATCTCCTCAAACTTCACATATTGAAATTCAAGAATATGGATTTCAGAGGTACTGGTCTTTTGGGAGATAAATAGGTTGTTAGGCTTTATTCTTCATTAATGAGATTAGTTGGGGCTGGGGAGATAGCTCAATGACATAAGTGTCTGCATGGCAAATACAAGGTCAAGAGTTTGATCCCAGGTACCAAAAAAAAAAAAAAAAAGACCCAGAGATTAGTATCTTTAATAAAAGAAGCCATCAGAGGACCCTGGCCTCTCTTCAGTGTGAGGGCAAAGGGAGAAGTAAACAGTCTGCAAATCTAAAGAATTTAGCCATCTTGGTACCCTAATCTGAGACTTCTGTCTTCCAGAACTGTGAGAAACAAATTTCTATTATGTGAATCTGCTGGTCTAGGATAATTTGTTACAGGAGCCCAGACAGCCTGAGGCCGTGTGAAAGTGTGCAGTACCTGACATGATAGGTTCTCAGGAAATGCTGTTTCTTTCCTTCCTTTTAAGATTATGTGATGTACATTTGATATTACCTGTGGGCAACACACACATCCCATGGTGGTGTCATTCCATGGTAGTGTCTTTATTTTTATGTAATTTTGGGTTGTATTTTTGTGGTACTGGGTATTGAACCCATGACATTGCACATTTTAGGAAAGGGTAGAGACCACTGAACTAGATTCCCAGACTCCCTATACTTTTTTTTGTGCTTTGTTTTGTTGAGACAGTGTTTTGCTATATAGTTCATGCTAATCTTCAACTCACTATGTAATTCAGGCTGGCCTCAAATTTGTGGCAAATCTCCAGCCTCAGCCCCCAATTGCTGAGATTACAGATGTGCACCACTATGCCTGGCCCCAACACCTTTTTTTGAGAAAAAGTCTTGCTACATTGTATTGCCAAGCTAACCTCAGATTTATGATCCTCTTGCCTCAGCCTCTTGAGTAACTGGGATTACAGGGTTGTCCTATTGTATCAGCAATTTTTATGTAGTGTTTTTTATTTTGAAAAGAGTATGACACTGGGGATGTATCTCAGTGGCTTAAGTGCTTGCCTGACAATAGCAAGGTTCTGAGTTAGAACCTGGTACCTACCCCCCCAAAAAAAGAAGATAGTATGACATGGAAAAAATTTAAATATGTAGTAGCTAATAAATTTTAGCACTATAATTTTAATTTTTTTGTGTTACACAAATAGTCATAACTAAAGCCTCCTACTTTGATATGCAAATTGACATTTTGCTTGTTTGAGCAGTCTCAGATTTAGTTTTGGTTAACCAGTATTTCTCTGCATTGTTTTAATCTAAGAAACTATTCCTCAAATGTTAGACATTTAAGTTGATAACGTTCTTTCTACTAATGTAAAGACTATTTCATTTGATACCTTATGTTAGATCTTGCTTATTTTGAATTATTTCCTAGAATAAATTTCTGCAAAAATTGCTACTGGGTCAAAGCCTATAAAATCTATAAATGAATACATTATATTATAGGTTTACCTTTTGGGTTGCACAAAATAGTGAAAAGAAATGCTAATTTTTGTTCTACCTATGAGATCTTGCATCACTTATTTTTATTTTTTAATTTTCTCATCTATAAAATTAGTATATTGTATTAGGTAGTAACTCTGGCTCCTTTCAACTCTAATATCTTACAATTCTATATTAAAGTGTCAGAGGCCATTAACCCATCTCCATGAGTGCAGTGTGCACTCTTTGGTTTCTTTTCTCCCTGAAAGGTTTGAAGAGTTTTCATATCAGCTTTAGTGGGTCAATGGAACCTAGCTTTCTCAGAATTCATTTTACGGGAGAGCAGTTTATATAACTCCTTCATGAACAGAGAGGTCTCTGGGATATTTATCTGCTATTGGCCTAAGAGAAAAAAGAACTTGTTTGAAGGATCTTGCTGAGGTGACAGAAATGAGAAGACATATACAAGCCATCATTACTCATATCTTGCTGAATATCCTAGGCATTTTTTCTCCTCTTTTGAGCCCATAGAAATGAAAGACATACTAAATGCAGTGTAGGGGATGTTAGTGTCCCATCTACCTCATCCTCTCCCCTTTAAACTTCCTGTAAGTACTCTGCTCTTGGTTTGTAGCACTGGAACTCAGTACCTTCTATCTCCGGGTCTATTTTAGGCAGCTGACACACAGGAGTTTGAGACCAAACTGCACAAAGTTTTTTGTGATATCATTCAGCACCGATTTCTTCACCACTGTTCATGTGATGTGAAACAGGTAAGTGATAAACAAGTAAACTGATAATCAGTACTTTGGTGGAAGTCTTCCATTTTGATATGTGAGAATCTTAAATTCAAGGTGAGTAGGTACCTATGCACAAACAAGTCTGAGGCTAGCCTTTCAGCAAGAAAACCTGTTGTTTTGAAATATTTTATAAAACAAGAATTAAACAGAGGTTGAGAGGATAGTTAGATATTCCTTGAATTCTGTTTCTGCCACTAACTAGATGTTAGCATTATTTTTTTTTTTCAATGCCGGGGATTAAATGCAGGACCCTGCGCTTGCCAGACAAGCGCTTATTCTACTGAGCTATCTCCCTGGTCCCAGATGTTGGCATTACTGAGGAAGTTATTTAAACTTTCTAAACTGCAGGTTCTTTATCAGTTAAAATAAGAATGAAGTTACTGTTATGAAGTTTGAATAAGATCATGTATGTGAAAGTGCTTGGTGTGTAGTTACTATTATTATGGTATTTTATGATGGGATTATTATAATTAGTTTTGTCTAATAAAAATATACTTTTATGAATGATAAAGATCTAAATTTGCATTACTCAGGGTCTCTACCCTCCAGAAGGTCAAATAGTTCTTGTTTTTAATGTATTTGGTACAGGGTCTCACTACGCAGATGTAGTGATCCTCCTCTTTGCCACTATAGTGATCCTCCTGTTTTCATCTTTCCTGGCACTGGGATTACAGGCATGCACCACTGTGCCCAGTCTCGGTGCTCAGCATGTGGTGCCTGGGATTGACCCTGGTCGCTGTGAACCCCATCCCTGCGCTTGCCTAAGCAGGAGCTTAGTCCACTAAGCTGTCTTGCCAGCTCAGCTTCAGTTGTTTTTGTGATAGACTCCTTTCACAAGGGAAGAGAGATCATAGCTAGCAAGGTCTCTGCCCAGGAATAACATGCTTACAGCTAGGCGTTATCTAGTTAACTGAGCTTGGAGCCAGGTGTTCTTAGCTGTGGCCTTGTCTTGTCCATTGAGGCATCATGGCTTCACCTGCCATCACAAGCCTCAAATGGGACCAGTGACTCATGAAGTTCACTTATTATGAGTCTGTTGCCTATCCACACAAGGGACCTAAACCTGGGACAGACTCACAAGTAAACACAGAAAGCCAATTGGTTAATTTAAGTCCTGTTCAGAGCCACTACGTAATTGTCTCCATCAGTCTCTTTAATTGAATAGATGTAACTGGGAATCCAGGGATGCTGTCTTGGTCCAATTTGTGTTGCTGTAACAAAATGCTTGTGGCAAGGTACCTTATAAAGAAAAGAGGTTTTATTTGGCTCATGATTCTGATGGCTAGAAAATTCAGATAGCATGATACCAGTGCCTTGTAAGGAAGAAACAAGATTGAGGTGGAGGGCTGGGCTCTAATCCATTCCTAGGGAATGCAACCTATTTCATGAGATCTAACCCATTTCATGAGAACGTTAGTGGCTGGTCTCACTGAGGCAGTTGTAATCATATCATCTCCTATAGGCCTTATCTTTCATTACTATTACATTGGGGAACAAGACTTGCATATGAACCTTTGGGGAGCAAACCATAGCAGATGTGAAGGCAAATAAAGTTTTTAAGGAATAATATAACTGGACACAGAGAGTATGCTGGAGATCTTTAGTAGAGTTCTCGCTCTACTATTCATTTAAATGCTAATCAGTTCATATCTGTGAAGAAACTATCCACCGAAAAGATCCACTCAAAAGGATTTGAGGAACAATAAGTGGTGTGGTGCTTACACAGAGCTACAAACAGTGACTGTTCTCACTGTCCAGAGAGGAAAACGTCACAGTTCATAGTGCATCGGGCAGGAGTGGACAAAAATTAAACCTACAATACTCTGGTGCTGTCAACAAAGCTTGAAAGCAGAAGCAAGACCGAAAAGGATCAAGCTGACTGCAAGTAATTCAATGCTATTACCAAACATATTATCAATTAAATATTTATAAGAATATAGGAATATAACAATACCCAGAACTTACCAAGTAATATTCATAGAGCCTATGTCCCATAAAAAATTAATAGCTTTGCTAACAAGAAAAAAAAACCCTCACAATGAGCAAATTTAATCAAAGCTGATATAGAACTGATACAGCAAATTATTAAAGACAAACCAGGTGTGGTAGCACACATGTGTAATCCCAGAAGTTGGGAGGCTAAGGCAAATTCAAAGTCAGCCTTGAACTACTTAGCAAAAGCCCTGTTGCCTAGGGTTCTGGGGCTGGCACGGCATGCTGTACCAGATATCGAACTCAGGACCTTGAGCTTGCCATTCAGGTGTTTAGGCTGCTGAGCTATCTCCCTAGCCCCTTATTATTTTAATATGCTACAGTTTTTATTGCAATGTAGCCATTTTTGTGAGGGTGGGGAGTTGGATCTCAAAAACAGTAGTTTAACACAGCTACAGTAGTACCTCAGTTCATGAAGCTAATTCTTTCCATGATACATTTTTTTGGGGTGGGTCTTTTTTGAGAAAGGGTCTCACTACAGCAGTTCATGCTGACTTTGAGCTCACTTTGTAGCCCAGGCTGGTCTTGAACTCACAACGATCCTCCTGCCTCAGCCTCCTGAGTGCTGGGATTAAAGATGTGCACTTCTAGTTGTCATCCAATTCAGTTTGTGACCAAAATTATGGAAAGAATTAAGTATATGAACCAAGGTAACAAGAATTTAAGTTTGTGAACCACTGTAACAAGAATGAACACAGCTGTGAGAATAATTTGATCACATTATAATTGGGATTCCTACTGGGGGTGAGAGATTCAACTCATTACAAAAAAAAAATCCTTATAATACATAGAGTTATGTTCCTGCTGCCATGTCACAAGAGGACTGCCAAGGGGCTGGTGAGATGGCTCAGTGGTCTAAAGCACCTACTTAGAAGAAGCTTAGCAAAGCACAGGGACCGCGGTTCAATCCCCCAGCACCACATGCCAGCCAGCCGCGCCCCCTGGTGGGCTGAGCTGGACACACACACACACACACACACACAAAATTAATTAATTAATTAATTAATTAAAAAAAAAAACAAGAGGACTGCCAAGGCCAGCAAAGTTAAGCCCCACAGGACTTTAATCAGGTGCAACCATAAATAATACTAAACAAAGTTTACCATCAGACCAGTGGGTGCTACTTTTAAGCCATTCAAGTGGCTTACCTATTCCAGTATTTTAAGCTACTCACATTGAAAATTACATTCATCATCGTGTCTTTGGAAAAGAATAGAAGCAGTTTAGGCTAATGTATGATAATAAATCATTCTTTAGTATCTACATAAAAGTAACAGCATTAAACAGTGTTACAGCACTCACTGATAAGTTGCTGATATCTTCTTTATTCATTGTGCTAGAAGTACCCAAACCAATCCTACTACTATTGACTGAATTGGAGAAATGGAAGCTCCTTTAGATGATTGATTGTCACTATGAGTTTTTCTCTAAGTGAAACCTACTATATTACCTCTCATAAAACAGTTATTATAGCTATATTCCATTTTTCCAAAAGTTAGAGGAAAGATTGACATGTTAAGTAGAGATATGGAAGGTATTTTAAAAGGTCCAAGGTCCAGGCCCATAAAGATGAAAGCTACAATGTCTGAGATGAAAATTACACTGAATAGTATTAATCATGTTAGACACTTAAGGAAAAACACATAGCAATAGAAATCTGAAATAAAACATATAAGTTAAAAAGACTGTAAATAAATAGTGTATCAATGAGCTGTTGAACAATTTTCAATTAACCTAATGTACATGTAATTGGTGAATCTCATATGTAAAGGAGTGGAAGAACAAAAAATATATGTGAATAATGGCTGAAAATTTTCCAAATGTAATGAGATCTGGGAACCTAGGAACCTCTATGAACTTGGGGCACAGGGAACATACAGTGACTCCAAGCCACATAATAATTAAGTCAGTTAAAACTTATGGTAAAGAGAAATTCTGAGTAGATAGGGAAAAGAATCTCCATGTTATATACAAAGAAGCAACAAGTAAAGAGTAAATTACTCATTGGAAGCAGTGTAAATTAGAAGAAATAGATCAGTATCATTACAGTATTGGAGAAATAAATGAAATAAACCTCTTGATTTACAGTTCTTTGCTCAGCAAAATACCTTTAAAAACAAAATGAATTAAGGATTTTTTTTGTTACATATAACATATGAAAGAATTTATTATCAGCAGACAAGAAATATAAAGGAAATCCTTTAAGCAGAAGGAAAATGATACCAAATAGAAAGTTAGATGTCTATAATGGAATAAAGAGTACTGGAAATGGTAACCACGTGGATAAATATAAAAACATTTTTTAATTATTTAAATCCCCATAAAATACTGTTGAGAGGCTAGGGATATAGCTCAGTGGTGCAGCACCTGCCTGAAGAGTACAAAGTCCTGATTTTGAATCTTGAAACCAGGCATGGTGGCACACACCTGTAATACCAGCACTCAGGAGGCAGAAGGATCATTGCGAGTTTGAGACCAGCCTGTGCTACAAAGTAAGCTGAAGGCCAGCCTAAACTGCATAGTGAGACCCTGCCTCAAAAAGGCAAAAAGAAAAAAAAAAAAGATTTTTGGTACACACACATACACACACATAGTTGAAGCTAGGCATGGTGTCATACACTCTAGGGGGGGCAGAGGCAGGAGGATTCACAAAGTTTGAGCCTAGCGTAGACAATTTAGTGACTTAGCAAGACCCTAGTTCAAAATACAAAATTTAAAAAAAGGGTTGTAGATACAGATAAATGTGAAGGCCTTGAGTTCAATCCTCAGTATCACTCATGTACATGAATAAGATTTGGGGATATAGTTCAGTACAGAGTCCTGGATTTAGTGTTTCAGTACCGCAAAACAAAACATGGTTGACCTTTTTTGCAGGGCTGGGGAAGGAACCCAGGGGCTCATGTATGCTGGATAATCACTTTTACCATTGAGCTATACTAACAGCTCCATTGATTTCTTTTTCTTCTTGATGTATTTGGTAC